TAATTTGAGAATAAAACTGTTGGGTCTATATAAATTAAATTTTGATTAAAAAAAATTTATTGAATAAAAAAATATAGAATTTAATAATTTATTGTACCATATAATATAATGCACCCCAGTTATAGAGATAAATAGTGATCATCAATTGATAATTATTGTATTTTTTTTTTGTTGAATTTGACTAATACTTTTTTTTTATACCTTTTTTTTAGGTGATAGTTAATGGATTAATTTCACTATAGTTGGAGCCAATGTTGTTGGAGTCATTATTAATAGAGTCATTATAAATGTTGCATTACTATTATATATAGATATTGTCATTACGTATTTGAATTGTTTTTGGGTATTGTCACCTTTTGATTTAAATCTGGTTTTGCCAATATTTTTTTCTTGTTATCACATTTCTAACTTTCCACCTTTTCTTTTAGTTTCAGTTTTATACTACTTGTTTTAGTACTGCTGCTATAGTAGTTGTTGCATTATTATATTGTCTTGAGGTAAATTTTATTATTTTTGTAACACTTTATTTGAGGTGAATTTTGTTATTTTTGTGTCACTGACATTTTTTTCTTTGTTGTTGCATGTTTAACCTCTACTGTTCTTTTTATAATTATTTTGTACTGCTTGCTTTGATGCTACTGCTGTGATAGATATCATGTTATTTGTCTTGAGACGAATTGTGTTATTTTTGTATTGCTGGCATTTTTTTTCTTTGTTGTGATTATTGATTTTAGTTTTTTGCTATTTGTTTTAACACTGCAACTATGGTAGATGATACATTATTTATTGCTTTTGAGTAAATTTCATCATTTTAGTGTTGTTGGTGCTTTTTATTTGATGCATATTTAATCTTCACACTTTCTTTCTATAGTTGTCATTAGTATCAGTTTCATGCAACATTTATAAATGGATGTTGCTATTATTCGTGTTGCCTTTGTGGTAACCATTTCATTGTTATTGGAAATACTATTGCTTTTAAAATACTTCTTGGTATCTTTTTTCTTGATACCATCATTTAAAAATGTTCTTGGCTAAAGCTAGGTGAGCTAGTTAGTATGATTAGGATGAGTTAGTTAATAGGTTAGGGTAAGTTAGTTGGTAGGGTTTGGGTGAGTTAGTTAGTAGGGTTAGGGTGTTAATTGGTAGTGTTAGGGTTAGTTGGTTAGATCAGTTAGTGGTTATTTCGAATATGTACGTTTGATATGTGACGATTCAATATGTTATGCATAACGGTTTTGAATTTGTAATATTTTTTTTTTTTAACAATAAATTATACATTAAAATTGAAAAGGCTATTATAATATTGTTATGTAATTCTTATCACATGACTAGGGGTGCACTGTGGTGCAGATGTACCAAATTTTAAAACCCAAAAATGTATATATTAATCTTAATGATAAAATTTCTTACCATGAATTGTTGATGTTAAGGTTGTATGAGTATTGGGTAATTACCTATAGGATAAATACCAGGAGATCATGCTGCTTGGTAAGATTGATGTGGTAATGGCATACTGAATCACTATTATTATATATATGATTATGTGTTAAGTTATTTAAAATTGGTTATATCATATTAACATGAGTTATCTGTTTTATAAGAAATAAAATCTTGTGATCGTTGGTAGTATCAAATCGTGGTGGAGGATTATCATCATTCTCTGTAATATTGGCAAACTAAGAAAAAAATTTGCAAGAATAACAAATTAGAAATTGTTGCTATTATTGCCAGTACTTCTATTATTGCCATTACTGTACCGTTATTATCGATATTCCTATATTCGTTGTAGATATCTGTCCATTTTGAGTTGATGTTGGTATGTTTGGTATATTAATAGTAGATATAAAGAACTAGTACCTGAAGATATATTAGCTAGATTGTTCATAACCTGTATATAGTCGAAATAAAATAATCTGTTAGACACGGTCAAGGCCAATTGGTTTGAAATCAAACTATCATGATACTTATTGTTTTTTTTTCCAACCTATATATCTGAAGAGTAAGAAAACATGTCACTATTAGAAGCTGATTTTGACATATCGAAGACACCAAATGGTCTTAGAATACTTTGGAATTTCGGCATAACAAGATGTGAACAATAATTTTCTAACATCTTATTAAACATTGATTTGCTGAATAGCTTGGCAAGAACATCATTCATTCCATGTGAAAGATAAAAACTACAATCTTGGTGCGATGCTAATAATTGGTATGGAGCTGTCGAAATATCTAATTTGAACTGTTGCCTTAACACCTAAATTTATATTATAGTAAATCATAAAATTAATGACATTAGAGAAATGAAATTCTAAAAAAGAAACTTACTGTTATAGAACAGTTTATTATTTTATTAGTTTATTATTCCGATATTGTATTTTATTATTTATTTTATTATTAT